TCATTTTCACAAGGGTTAAGGAAGGATTGGAGATAAAAGGGAAGTGAGTATAGCTATAAAAGGGGAACATGACTGAGTGATTTTTTTTTTTAATAATGGAAATGTATCCTAATTGTTGCATTGTCAATATCCTGGTTGTCATAGTGTACAGTTGTTTCACAAGATGTTAAGTTAGGGAAAATTATAAATGGACATGGGGTCTCTGTTCATTTTTAAAACTGTGTATGAACCTACAATTATCTCAAAAACATAAGTACACGAACCAATGAATCTAAAAATTCTACTGTCCAAGTTAGAAGGAATAAAAGGAAAGCACATCATAAAAAATACTAAGAATATCAGTATTCAAGGTACTCAGGAATATCTCAGTGGAAAGGTATAATAAAGGTAGACACTTAACTTGGTCCTGTGTATAAAATCATCATGAACTCAACAGCTAGCTACACAAGCAAGCTAATGAATGTGTACTTTTCATGACTCAAGTACCATGGACAGAGATACCATCAGTGATGAGATTTTATTCTATGGTAAACTACTCTAAGTCATATTCTGAACTAAATGAAATACAAAACCCCTTCAATGTACATGACAGATGCATCCCTGGGAAATTCAGTGTATATTAAAAGCATGCAAAATGTACTTTGAGATTATTTGTTAAACAGATTAAATTCTAACTGCATGCAATTTTGAACAGTTTTCAGCTACTTAAGTGATAGAACATTTGAAAACCTTGTAGGCTAACAATATATTTTCATCATGCTAGACTACCCTACAAATTTCAGGATGTGTAGCATCCATGGCCTTCTCCACTAAATGCCAGTGGCTCCTTTCAAGCATCTTGAACATCAACAAACCTTTACAAATTTCCCTAGAGGCCATTCCAACCCCATTAAGAACCACTGATTGAGACTGCAGAGGTAACTGTTGTAATGAAGCATTGAGGCCCTTTATATTTTATTGTGATAGTAAGTTGATTTTATAGATTGTGAAACTGAATTTGCCCCCAAAATGAATTATCCATAAGAATATGTCTGCCAACCCAAAAGAATACAAAATTCAGTTCTTGGGAGCATGGAAGGTTATGTGAAAACCCTTTATTCCCTACATTGTAAGAACCTCTCTAGAAAGAAAATAAAGGCTTTAAAAAATCACAGTTCCTTCAAAAAAAGGCACTTTTACTAAATAAGGGTAAATTTATGGTAGAGGAAAAGTCAGACCCCAACTATTAAACCATGTTTATCCCCTTTAATTGTGTAGTTAGTGCTAAGTGGTCAAGCCTCCATGTTACCTACACATTGCAGCTTGTTAATAAATGATCAGTTTTTGATTGGTCTAAACATTCTTCTTTTGTATCCTTTGGTGAGTAGGTAATGTTATTCCCTAGTGTCTCTGTCCTGAGGAATAATTTCCTCAAAGTGATGTGTGTTTTAAGTACTAGAAAAACAGCCTCGATTTTTTTTCATACTCCAAGCATTGTTTTAATATTCATATTAATTTGTAAATATTTTTTTTTAAAGATTTATTTATTTGTACATACAGAACTGGGGTACAGGTCAGAGGCTCAGGGGCGGTGAGAGGCTTCACCAGAGACAGAGTTGGGAGCAGAACAGGCAGATCGAGGAAGCACACTGCTGAGGGGAGCAGCGGACGGGTCAGGAGAGGTCTGCCACGCCATGTGGTCACCTCCGGGGCAGGCGGGAATTGAACTCATGCGGAAGTGGCTTTAGCTTCTCAGTGCAGTGCTTTAACCCGCTGCGCCACCAGGGAGGGCCATAATTTGTAAATATTTTTAAAGATTTTATTTATTTATACATACAAGAACTAGGGTATAGGCCAAAGGTGTGCCAGGTGAGTGAGAGGATTCACAGAGACAGTGAAAAGCAGACCAGGCAGATTACTCAATATACATTGAAAAGGGATCAGCAGGCCAGACGAGAGGTCTGCTGCGCCATGTGGGTCAGCTCCTTGGCCAGGGACCAAACTCATGCTGCAGTTGCTGCCCATAGCTTCATAGTGTTGAGACTTTAACCCCTTGTACCAGTAGGGAGACCCTAATTTGTAGATATTTTCATTAACCTTTGGTCCTATGTTTTCAAAAACTATCTCCAAATTTGATTTTGAAATATGTATATGTACCTCTAGATGGTTATATAATTACCTAGCCTTCAAATTATATTTTAAGGTTATTAAAAATCTACTTTTAAAAATTTAGAAACCATTAAAAAAAATAATGTTCATATTACCACTCTTTAGGGAGAACTCACCCTTCCCCAATCTATTCTCTGGAATTCTGCTTCCAGCCCACCTTGCATATTACTTTTACTCCTAGTAATTTCTCTTCCTTTGATTGAGCACACATTCTAATTATTAATACTTGAAAATCGCAAGGGTAAATGTTGAGAGCCAGTGCAGGTACTCAGATAACTGAGGGACTTGGGTCTTTTCAGCCCAGGATTAATCAAGCAGAGAGTCATCATAAGCTAAAACTAAAAAGCCTTTGTAGTGATTTTATCACCAGGGAAATTTGTTCATCCTTCAGAAAAATTGTCACCAGGAAAGAAAAAATAAAGGAGTTAAAATTGCTTCAGACCATTGACTCTTAGGTCCCTCTAGATTCATAGATTGAATTGGTTTTCAAGGGGTGGGAGGAATTATGAGAAGAGTTCCCTGAGAAAGCTTACAAATTGATCATAGCCTTGGTAACACTAGTAAGTGTAAGTGTGATCACTATGGAGGAAATGCCAAATGAGCCTGGAAGCATGGGAAATGAGAAGGAAAAGAGACAATTAACACCTTTTTTTTTTTTTTGGCTTATTGTGTTTGAGAATGGGTGTTGCCATGTAGTATGATCTAAGACTAGTCTTTCAAAAAGGAAAAATATAATTGATTTTTAAATACCTTACCATTATAAGTATAATTAGTAGTCATTATTGAAATAAAGCTAGAATTGCAAACACTATAGAAATAGGCACTATAGAAATATATCCAGAAACCCAGATACACCCACTTCTATATACACCCACAAAATATTATTTGAAGTAGGGATATCTCAGCATATCTAGAAATGCTTGCTTGAATATGGAGAATATAAATACCTCCAAATTCCAAAGACTTAAAAGGTTATATGAATAAATCTGAAAAGATGAATAATAATAAATAGCTAGATGTTACATGTATTTTAAAGAAGTTAGAATTTGACACCTCTTGATGCAAGCAGAGATATACAGATATTTTTCCCCTGGGAATTCCAATAAGACTTGCCCAAATCCAGTCAGGCACTTTAGGATTTGCCAGGATAAAGCTACACTCATCTATTTTCCACTAAGTGGCATTGAATTTTGCCAGAAATGAATGAGCAAATAGAAAAATGACCTCATTTTTCAGACTGAATTCAGTAGTGTTGAAAGATAATTCTCAAGGATGTGACTTAGGTGCTGGATCTTAGCTCCAAATGCAGGTTCACGAGGCAATCTGCAGAGGAGAGGATAGAGAGCACCCTTGTGAAGGCCCCTACAGAGGGATTCTCTCCCAGGGCCAATTCCCATAGCTAAGTCACAGGCACAGACTGTAGCCTTCTGCTCTCTGGCCGACTGCAGCCATAGCATCCTTATTGTTGTAACTCCCAGATTGTGATACTGTCACAAAACTGTTGCTAGGCAACAAATGTGGTTACTAGGTCTCAGCGAATAGCTAAAGGGGAAAGCAAAGTGTTGCACCATTGTAGAGTAACCATAGCAATGACCTACTATTACAGACTAAAGAATTATCATTAACAATGTTAAAGTATCAGACAGAGGCCCTGAATCAGAGACTTCCAGGCACTATCTGCATAATTGAGTGATCTAGGAAGAGATTTCAGCTGTTTCAAAGCTAGTCTCTCATTATTTTTATGAGTGAGTCTTCTTAATTATTTTTATTTTTAATTAAAAATTTAAGTTATAAAGCTACTAGCCAAATGATACAACTATCTCAGCAATCAAAAACGCAGCCATTCCTTCATCAGTTCTTATTTCTACGTCAGTGTTATTTACTGCTTGTGTTAAACTGAAAGTAGCTCTGATTTTTTAAATATTGTACTTCAGCATAAAATTGAAGCCGCAGAAAGAAGCCTTAGTAAAATAAAATAATCGCAAATTTACAACTAGACATGCATTCCCTAAATTGAATTCCTCCAGACCCAACCAGATGCTCTTTTAGTAGTCACGGCTTTGAAACATTTTGAAGTCTTTCTAAAACTGTCTCTGAAATCTGTAAAATATATAGTTTGCTGGGACACTTCAAGCATCGTCAGTTTCGAAGCTGGTCCTTCGTTAAGCATCCCGTATACTTCGGTCGCAGTGACCTCGCTGAGGCCATCATGTCTAACAGCAGCGCTTCTGGGAGAGGGGAGAAAAATCCCATTCGTTTTTTCCCTTGGGGTACGAAGAAACGTGGGTGCTCTGGGTGGGGATGCAAGCCCGATTCCGCGCGCCGGGGACTCGGGTCCTCGCGCGCGCACGCGTCGGCGCGCGCGTGCGGAGTGTGCACAAGTGGGTGGTTTCGAGGCGGGAGAGGGAGGGGCCCTTCCCGCCGAGCGCCTCGATTGGCCTGGAGAGGCTGAGGCCCGGGGAGCCGCCCGGTTGTGCCTCGGGCGACCCCGGGGAAGGTCTGGGCCGCGGTCTCGCGTCAGATGGCGGGGGTGCGGGGTCCCGGCCTCGGGCGACGCCTGCGGAGGGCGGAC